AGTTTGGTCTTTACGGCTCTCCGTCCTACGTCACTGAATGTTGACGTGTGGATAACCTGTCTCGTTAGCAGCACAGTTGTTTCTTGGTGGATAGTTGATTAAAGTACAAGACAACTGACTGTAATTATAAACGTATAAAGAGCAACAATGGCGGCGGACTGGGAGGAGATTCGTCGTCTTGCTGCAGACTTTCAGAGAGCGCAGTTTACTGACACAATTCAGAGGTACAAGCAGCTGTTAGCCACTAAGCTAATGGAGCTAACAGGAAACTTTCATTCAGATAGATGGGATTTAATCCTTTCTACTGACAGCTGTCTTTACCAGTATTGAATAAAACATGTGACGCTTGTTTGATTATTCCCGCAGGCTGTCTGAGAGGAATTGCATTGAAATCATCACGAAGCTGGTGCAGGACAAGAAGCTGGATGTGGTGCACACACTGGACGGGAAAGAGTTCATCACTCCTGCACAGATCAGCAGAGAGATCCGAGACGAACTCTACGTGCATGGAGGTGAGCTCAACACCAGATTCAAACCCATACACACAATAACATACCTTTCTAAACAAGCAGAACTCATCAGCACTGTTTGAAGATAGAACAGGTGTTTATTGACATGTGCACAGGTTCAGGACAGTACAGGTCTGAGTCAGCTTCTACAAAACAAAGTTAAGATTACATATAAAATAGAATATCATTACAAGAAAACAAGAAAAAGTCAAAGTAAAAATAAATAAGTTGTAGTCACAGCTTAGTGATTTAAAATAAACTGTACAGAAGTTAAACACTGTATTAAAGCAAAGATATAGTACAAAAAATAACAAAGGGGAACACTGTACAATGAAATGAAAATATAAATATGTTTTCTTGTCTCTTATTGCACCTGAGGTTATTGCACACATATTTTTCACATGATATAATTGCACAGTTTTTTGTTTTTAAGGTTAATATTGCACACTTGTATTGCACTGTGGGGTGAACTACTTCCTTCCCATCTTAATGTCCTGTGCTACAAGTCTCACAGCATGAGATGCTATTTATCTATTCCTCTGATTGAAGTACTGTACTGGATGGTAACAGTGAACACATACTCTCATTCTGTTTCCCAGGGCGGATCAACATTGTGGACCTCCAGCAGGTATGTTTCAAAAAGTAACATTTTTGCTTTGACCAACTTTGTCTGTTTCTTGTTCCTATATCATTCAGATTCAGATTCAGATTCAGACGACTTTATTTATCCCAGAAGGTTTTTTTTTCACTTTCACAGCCTTGTGAGTCTTATTAAAAGAAATCGACACAAACTCAGGAAACAAACAGCCTGATAGCTGAAGGAATAAAAGAGTTCATAAAGAAAATATATATTGTATATACAGGGCTTTAAATTAACTTTTTTTTATCACCAGCCAACATGGCTAGTAGATTTTTAAAGTTGCCAGCAAACCAGATTTCCCACCAGCCGAAATTTACGAGCCACTCACGACCTGACAGCCATTTAGAATTGAAACTCCTCGTTTTCTTCTTCCTCCTTAATCTTCATTGTCCCATGTGTCTGCAGCAGCAGCCTTCCTTTTTTTTTTTTTGCTCTTCTGGTTTTTTAACTCCTGACAAACACTCAAACGTCCCATCATGTCTTTCCACATTTCCTTTTCAGATTATCAACGTGGATTGGGTCCATGTGGAAAGTAGAGCAAACGACATCGTCAAGTCTGACAAAGGGGTTCAGCTCGTACTGGGACAACTTGTCGATAAGTGAGTGACACTGTAACCACATCAGTGTAACCCAGTAAGACACAGGCCTTCATATATTTAGCTGTTCATGCTGTTATATAGTCAGACATTACATAGAGAATATAGAAATGTGAAAGTTGACGTCTGTGTATCTATAGACATAGAATTACTTTATTGATCCCAAACTGGGAAGTTGTGGTGTTACAGCAGCAGGTTAACAGATCAAATAAAACAATATAAGAATAAGTATAAGGTAGTAATCACTAAAAATACAAAATAAGTACTAAGAATATTAAAAAAAAAAAAAAAAAAATGAGAATAAGAAGAAATATATACATCAATGATTTGACTTAACATTACTTCTAGTCTAAATATGAAAAATTCAGAGCTGTGCAATCACTGATATGTGTGTTAAAGTGTAAGAGTGTAGACATGTTAACAGCTGAAACTGTGAACTAAAATGACGACCGGGCAGACAAATTAATTTAACTTAAGTGTAAGAGTAATGTGTAAACTTTTACAATTTACATAATACGCAGAGTAGATTAGAAAATGAAAAGACGGAGATGATCATGATGACAGTTCTCTGCTCGCTAAAGGTGAGCTGTTGTAGAGGGTTATGGTCTTTGGTATGAATGTCTATATGTATTCGCTATGATGCTTTTCTATTATGTCAACTGGATTCTGAAAAATATGTACATTTAAAAAAAGGTCATTCAGAGTGAGTGCTGAGTTTTCCATGCTTGGTTAACCTGTTGATAATGTGTTGATGGTTGCAGTACGTACCTGGACCGGCTGGCTGAGGAGGTGAACGACAAACTGCAGGAGGCCGGTCTGATCAGTATATCGGAGCTGTGTAAGAGCTATGACCTCCCCGGAGACTTCTTATCCGAGGTGAGCGACTCTGCACCCTCATTCAGTACCAGCATGTGTTCATCTCTCACGTCAAAATGTGTCATATTTGTATTTGGACGGTCGTCTTGTTGTAGTTTCTGTTAACTGTGTGTCATGTTGTCTTGATGTTTTCCTCAGGAGCTGTCAAAGCGCCTCGGGAAGCTCATCCAGGAGAGATGGACCAGTACAACAGAGGGTCATATTTACTCCAGCTTTTGTTGCTCGCCACAAGGCCAGGATACGGGGCTTTTCAGCGCCATCACGAGGTGAGCGGCGTCGAGATATTTACACATCTGGCCTCGAGCGAGGGAGGGGAAAGTCACCAAGAGCAGGTTGAAGCAGTTAGTGGAAACTGGAAAAGTTTCTCATCCTTCGCTCCTGGTATCTGCTCCGTCTCAAGGTCCACCCTAAAATCTGGTGTATAGGACGCACTTTTAATACACATTATATTACCTGAAAAGTTGGCTGCGTCCTTTATACCAGTGAGACCAATATACCGCTGTAGGTACCAGATGTGCTCGGGTGTTCAGATCGACTTGGGGTCCTGAGCCTGCTAGTGAAGTCACACAATATGATCGGAGAGTTTATAGTTTTCACGGTTTCGTCGGGTCTTTGAGCTCAACAGTGACCGCCCACTGATGATATGACATTTAGCACCAAAACAACATAAAAAAATGGAAAAAAGACAAAGGTACATGACTGTGTACATGATTTTCGTCAGAAGTAAAGGAACTACACATCCCACAATCCATTGCGAATGATATCGTGTCTTCTTAAGAGTAAACTTTTGTCTTAATGCAAGTGTTGTACTATCTTGTAGTTTGTGTTGTGTGGTAAAATATAAACTACATTCACTGCGGCATGACATGGTTATAGGCTAGTACATTTCGTGTTAACTAACTAAACTAGCTAGCTAGCCTTCTAGCAGACTTATCTGTTCGCATACGGCATCGAGGGGCAGGAAACATTGCCATGGTAACAGCAAGCTCAACCAATCAGAAACACTCTTGTATGACGTCTAGCCGAGTCGATCTGAACAGCCGAGCACATCTGGTACTTACACGGTATAAAATGCTGACACACCCGC